TTTTGCATAACATTTTTTTTCTCAATTTTTTTTAGGGAGGGGCGGTAGCTTCGGCGCAGTCACGAAAATAGTTTGTAATTGCATTCGAAACACCGTTTTCGCACTTCAGTCAGGGGCCGAGTATCAATTGCAGTTGAAACTCGACCATATGCGGTTCCTGTCTCTTATACACATCTAGATGTGTATAAGAGACAGGTGTGTGTGTGTGTGTGTGTGTGTGTGCGCGTGTGTTGTGGGGGGGGGGGGAGACGGGAGAGGGGATCGGCGGCTCCCAGGATCGGAATGAGCGCGATCCGAAGAACCTCCCCCCCCTTCCCCCCTCACCTTAAAGATAAGCATGTCATCACGGGGCCACGTCGGAAAAGGTCCCCCATGTCAGATCGCCCCCCTGGGTCCCCTTCCTTAAGAGGTCAGCCATGTCATACTGGGGCCATGTTGGAAAAGGTCAGACATACTCTGATCGGAATGAGCCCCCCTGGGCCCGAGGAACGCCGATCCGAGATTTTAGCTCTTTGATTTGTTTTCGTTTTTCTCAGAAAAGGAGAGCCCCGAACCCCAGCACGGGGGGGAGGGGACAGGACAAGGGGGGAGAGGAGGAGGGGGAGGCGTGGGCGCGCAGGGGGAATTCTGAGGAGTTGGAAAAGGCGGGGTAAGAGGAGGTGACTTCACGGCGGAGAGCGCAGACAGGAGGAGCAGGGATGGGCAGGGGAGAGGAGGAGAGAAAAGGGGAGGGGAGCGAATGAGGAGGAGAGAAAAGGGGAGGGGATAAATGGCTGAGACACCTTGGGTGTCGCACCAGAGATTGTTTCGTCGGTAGAGCGCAACTCATTTCGTAAGCAGGGGGGTGCGCCGCTGTACTATGCGCGGGTCGCGGGTGGCAGGGGGGTGCGCCGCTGTACTATGCGCGGGGTAAGATTTCCTACAACGGGGTAGGGGGCGTGCAAGGTGGGTGGGGGATGGAAGAGGCCATCACTGGAACAGAGAGGTGGGGGAAGGTAGTGTCCTAAGACAGCGGAAGAGACATCGACTGGAAGGATTCGATGTCGTACGGGGAGGGATGACATGCCGCACGAAGAGGGAAAGAGTGGGGCGGGGGGGAAGGGGGAAGACAGGGGGACGCTGGGGAATGTCGTATGAAGAAAGGAGCAGGGGTTAAATGACCGCTTGCTGCGACATGGCAACTGCTCCCTGTCTTACGACGCTCCAGCTACAAAAGGAGGGTGGTATCCCCCCAGTGTCCTTTTTTTTTTTTTTTTTTTTTTTTTTTTTTTTTGCTTAGATCGGGAACCCCCACCCTGTATTACTTGCCACAATAGGGTAGAAGGGTTTTGATTCGACACGTACACCGCTACCGGGGGCCATGTCCTCTATGCGAGTACGACATCGGCCAAGGTATTAAGAACAAGTCCGAATCAGCAGCAATACCATAAGTAAATAAACTAATTGTTGTGTCCCACTTCTCTCGAGGGGGTTTGTTCTGGTTTCGAGTGTACATGGCTCCTTGCCATCCGATCTGAAAGTCTCACGGCCTTAGTGGGACCACGTTGGACAATACACGCAAGATAAAACTAAACCCGCGGTTAGTTCTCCTCGGTTAGTTCTCCTCGGCTAGTGGGTCACGGCCCCGCGGTTAGTTCTCCTCGAAGAAGGATTTTCATGCCTAGAAACAAAACGAAAAAAAAAAGAAAAAAAAAAAAGGGATTTTCGCGCCTCCACGTCAGCACGAACAGTATGCGAGACCTAAGCGCCAACATGGAAAGCATTATTCTTGATCTCAATGTCGCAAAAAAAAACAAAACAAAGATAAAAAAAGAAGAAGAAGAAGAAAGAAAGAGGGGGAGTTGAGACTCAGAACCACCGGTAACGGGATTGGGTATTCTTGATTTAAACGTTGAAAACAACGAAAACAGAAGAGAGATTCGAAATTCAGACCAACCGGTGCGGCGACTGGAAGCGGCAGAGATGGAGCATGAGAGGGGAGGGGGGGAAATTTTTTTAGGAAGAGGACGACATCGAAATGGAGAAAGACAAAAAAAAAAAAAAAAAAAAAAGGGGACAGAGAACATGACGTACTTTGAACAACGCCCCAGCAAAGAGACGGCGTCAAATCGGCAATGCCAGTGGCTGATTGCAGGAGCTCACTCTGGCGATGGTTGGTAGCTAGCGGCTGATTGAAGGAGCTGGCTATGGAGCTCGCTCTGGCGATGGTAGCTAGCGGCTGATTGAAGGAGCAGCTGGCTATGGCGATGACAGTTTCGAGACGGTAATCCGCCAGAGTGGTAGCGATGGCGAATTCTCCTCTTTCCTTTCTTTCTTTCCCTTTTTGTCCTATCTCTATGGCGCTTTTTTTTTTTTGGTCCTATCTTTATGGCGAAGCCTAGCGATGTGGTAGCGATGGCGAATTCTACCGATGTGGTAGCGATGGCGAATTCTCGTCTCTTCTATTCTTTTTTTTGTTCAGAGCGCGAGTTCGAATCGGGAATCGAACGTTGGATTCATTCAAAATACGGAGCAGCGGCAAAGAATCCCCGCTACACCGCGACACACTTTTCCGTGAAAGAGGATTGGTCCCACTATTGGTAGCAAAGAGGATTGGACTGAACGCCGGAATCTGGACGGGTTCTTGGCAAGTTGCAGAAAATCGAGATTGAACTGTCTTTCTGCATCTGTGCGTAACACACGACCAGATTCAGGATCTTAATTCAATCCTCTTCGCAGGGCCTCGGCCCTGGCAGATCTTTTTCAACTCATCGCCTCTGACGTAGTTGCCGTCAGATGCATGAAGGATGGGCCGTATTAGCGGGAGAGACACCCAGGAAGTCCTGGTCTGAGTTTTTTCTTTTTCTCTTTCCAAAAAATAAGCATCTGTACAAGCGCTGTATAACGGGCCTCGCATCCAGCGGCCTAACTCAGTTGGTAAGACTCGCAAGTGGCATTCAGGAGGTCGCGGGCTCAATCCCCACTTCCTCATATGCCTTCCGTGGCATGCTTGGCGCCCGCCACCTAGAGATAGTTCACTGGATCCCCCGATCGGCATTGAGCAGAGTCTGCAGCTGATGTTCGTAGGGGGGGGGACCACCATGGATTGGTCCTGTTGGCATGCTCCCTGATGCTACCGGCTGTCTAGCAGGTATCGCCCACCTGCAGGTCAGGAGCAGTCCCCGCATGTCCGTGAACACGGTTGTATGCCTACAATTAGGACTAGTGGTAGGTAGGTAGTGTGAGGTGAAATTGAGACAAGAATATAGCTTTTCTAAGAAAGGGGGGGATGAAATAATGGGCCTCGATGCACTACACTTGAAACCGCATGTACACGGCCCCAGCCTTGCAGAAAGTTTTTGTCGCCACAAGCCAAACTCGGAGGGGCACCCAAGAGCCTAGCTAAGTGGGTACATCCATGAACTGTTGAAATACAGATCTGTGTTCAAATCCACATGATGGAACTTGATGAGTACAAACCAACTACTAATGAATTGCTTGGGGCCGGTCAGCTCAATTATCATATCTCGAGGATTCAAAATACGGAGCAGCGGCAAAGAATCCCCGCCACATCGCGACACACTTCTCCGTGAAAGAGGATTGGTCCCACTATCGGCAGCCTCCGAAGTGGTGCAGGTTTCGTGCTGACACCCGCGGGCCGATATGTGGTGTACTGGTGCTTTAAGTTTCAAGAGTGTGGCATCGCTGCATGAACTCTTGACGCGGGACGCCCAAAACCTATTCCAGGTGAAGGTCATTGATTCAGCAAACAAGCTGCAACTGCACTCGTGGCTACCGCGGTGAAGGCCATTGATCCAATCTGGACTGCTCTGGTTGCTGGTTTGGTCGCAGGAGACAGGCAGAGGATCTACTGTGGAAGGACCGTCACATCTCTTCTGGCTCTTCAAGTGGTGAGAGCCTCCCACCGACTGTAAGTGGTATATGAAACCTAGGCGCCGTGATTGCTTTAGGATTGTAGACCTTTCGTAGAATACAAGTCACTAGAATACCTTTCTCAGCCTTTTGGCTAAGATCAAGTGTAGTAT